AGCTAAACAAGATCCCAGCAGTTGGCCGTCGAGACCGCCGGACTTTGGATGCCTATGGATTTTTATCTTTGCGAAAGAATAAAGGTTCTTATCTTTAAATTGCCTGTATAATCTAGACAAGAATTATAACTACTTAGCGGTTATGTGAGGGTATCTTCCACCCCCACTGAGTCAATGAGTTAATGAATTCCGCGAGAAATCAAATCAATCAAAAACGGTTCCGTCTGTCCATAACACAAGACGGTCGACATGTGGAACACCTGTAGCAAAAACTTGATTTGCTATTAATTCTCGTTCGTCTTGGTTTGCTATTAATTTATATTCTTATTAAATATAGTTTAAATGTGTTAATGTTAAATATAGTTTACATTTTTATAAAATTTTAAATCTCTCATTGTAAATATCATTTTCGTTTTAATTGCTGCTCACAGCTACAATTTTTTCGCATTACAGACGGCGCAGTTCAAAACCTACTTATTCAAAGTGGACGAATTTTTAAAAACTCTATATCTCGAAGAGGAATCGAGCAAAATATCAAGTATGTTATATTTTTGGAAAGGTAATTTTAGGTTTCTTTCAATGAATTAAAGATATGCAGGATATCCCATATAAAAAATCAAATTTTCTGTTGATAATTCTTAAATTATTAATTTAAAAATAATTATACTTAAACCATTAAATTCTTCGTAAAAAGGTGCTTTGTAAATGTTTTCATAAAAATGCAAAATTTTCTATAGCAAAAAAGTTACAGCGATTTGTTAAAAATGCACATTTTTGAAAAACACCCCGTAACTCATAAACGGTAACAGATATCGACGTGCGGTTTTCACCATACCGCTCCAGATACCGAATTAGTTTTCGTCTATCTCCTGTAGAAAAGGGTGTTTTCCTTTAAAAGCGTCCAATTTGACCCACCCTGTACAGTGTGTTGAAATTCACACTTTCGATCAAAACGTAAATTGTACGGGAGGTAGGAAGTTAAATCACCGCAACCTTATAAATCCACTGTATCCTTCTATCTTGAGTTATCACTCGCCGTACAGTCTCAGGGCTTTGACAAAACCCAGTGTCTGAAACAGCTTCATAAATATTAATTCTTCATCTCCGCGATGGTACCAAAATTTGTGGCAAGAACGGTTGTCGGCTCGACGTACTCAATGACGAGGTTAGGTATTTCCTCATTGCCCCCACAAAATCTGCATTTGCCGTTGTTTTTTAGCTTCAATCTACTGAGGTGTTTATCGAGGAGACAGTATCCTGTTAAAAACTCCGTAAATATTAATAATAATAATAAATAACGCTTTACTGTACAAAAAGCCAAAATAGATTCATCGACAAAGCATTTACAAAACAAACAAAAGCACCAAAAAATATACAAATAATAAAAATTATCATACAATACAAACGAGAATACAAATCAATCCAAAAAATTTACATCATTAAAATTACAAATAAAACATATATGGACATTGCAGAACACAAAAAGGCGTATGAATAAAATTTTACAATAGGAAAAGTGTAAATGGTTAATGCAAGAGTTATAAAAATATTAAATATTAAATACTAGACTTTTAACCAGTGCCTGAGATGATCAAAATTTTAAAATTCACAATTGATCAAGATTAAACATCAACAAAAAAGTCGTTTACCGCATATAGAGCTCTCTCCAGTAAGTATGATTTAAGAGCTTAGCGAAATGCGGGAAAGAATGAAAGTGACTTGATATTCAAGGGCAGATGATTGTACATTTTTTTGGCATTGTACAGTATTGAGCCCTTAACTAGTCGAAGATTATATAAGAAGATATCCGATTATTCTTATTTTGATCAAGGAAAATCTTTGATTTCTCGGTGGTAATTTTTGAGAAATTTCCTGGAGTATTTTAGACCGTTGGATGATTCCTATTCCAGGTTACGGATGGCGTCTTCCATGTTCTTGAGGTCTACTTAAGTTTGATTCCATTTAGGAAGCAGGATGATTTCGGTCCAGTTAGTGAAGCGCTTGCTTCTACTAGCTACTACTACTCGCTCCTTTTTAGCTATAGTATAGTCAATCTGGCATCAAAAAAGGTCCCTAGACTCCCCATTAAATTACCCCCGCTCTCATACTGTGCCAGTCGTAAGCTGAAAAAACCGTAAAATAATGTCATAAACTTACATTTTAGTAATATGCTTCTCTTATAAACTTTTATGAAAAAAAATTTATATTTTTTCTCTAAAATCCGAAAATCAATAAATAATGCGCCGTATAGTAAGATGTATGTAGCATTTTACTACCCGTAGTCTAAGTGTTAGCGGGAGACTGCGTGCTAATAGGACGTTCCTTTACTAAAACACAACTTTGATTTGTAACTTTTTTAGGGACACCCTCTCCAACCCTATATAATTTTAAGAAATACTTCAATTTAACCTACATATGCTTACAAAATTTCGATTAAATATACAGGGTCCGGCAATAGTGCGTCGGGCATCTGTAGCTCCTAGAATAAAAAAACTTGAGAATTTTGTTTAAGTCCAAACCTAAAGTATGTACCAGGAGGTATTTCCGGAAAATATTTTAACTTCTATAGGGTGGATCAAAAAAGTGTGAGTGGATCTGGATGACTTACTTTAAATGGAACACCCTGTATATTATTGCATTTTTGGCTTCCTTTCAGATCACTTTACATAATCCTAAGATATGAGTAAATCTATTTCAATAGTTTCAGAGATATTAAAAAGTAAATCAAAAATATATATTTTTCAACCCTTCTTAAAAAAAATATTAAAAATATAAGAACTATTCTGAAATCAAAACTATATTAGATATTTACTTTAGATGGTCTGTTCTTACTTTGCTATAAATATGGTAATCGTAAATCATACAGGATTTTCAATATTTTACGCCAAACTTTCAAAAATATAAAATAATTTTAATTCGTTTTTTTTAAATTGAACACCCTGTATATTATTTTTTTATTTGAAGAAGAATTAAACAATGAACATTTTTTGTATTTAAAGTATTTCAAAATTTTTAATAATTTTTCGGATACACGCAGTATTATTTCATATGGCGCTTTCAATGGTAAAATACGAGGGAAAAATCATTGGGTGGCTTTGATAAAAATTTACTGTGGAAAATACAAAACCGGGAATATCTGCGAAACCGTTAAAGATTTTGAAATACTCCAAATGCAAAAAATGTTCATTTTTTAATTCTCCATCTATCGAAAAAATAATATACAGGGTGTCCCATTTAAAAAAACAAAGAAAAATTATTGTATATTTTAGAAAGTTTGGCGTAGAATTTTGAACATCCTGTATGATTTACGATTTCCATATTTAGAGCAAAGTAAGTACCAGACAATCTAAAGTAAATATCTAATACAGTTTTGATTTCAGGACAGTTCTTGTATTATTAATATTTTATTTTAAGAAAGGCTGAAAAATATATAATTTTTATTTATTTATTAATATCTCTGAAACTATTGAAATAGATTTACCCATATCTTAGGATTATGTAAAGTGATCTGAAAGGAAGCCAAAAATGCAATAATATACAGGGTGTTCCATTTAAAAAAAGTCATCCAGATCCACTCACACCTTTTTGAGCCACCGTATAGAAGTTAAAATATTTTCCGGAAATACATCCTGTTACATACTTTAGATCTGCACTTAAACAAAATTCTCAAGTTTTTTATTCTATGAGCTACAGATGCCCGACGCACTATTGCCGGACCCTGTATATCATTGTTCTCTTTACTGCCTATAAAAGGCGCCACCCTATATAGATAAAAATATTAGAATAATTTTTCTATTCGATAAATTTAGATAAAAATCTAAACACTTGTACTTTATTACAAAAGTAATTTAATCATTGTAACTTTTATTTTTACACGATTTATAGTTATTTTTTCTACTTGCAAATATTACTTTATACATGCTAATGCGAAAGTTTTAACGTATTTATACATATAAAAAATAAATTATTTTTGTAGATTTGCGTTGAAACTAATTCATTATGTTGATTTAATATTAAAAACGTTTATTTTTAATATTAAACCAACATAATGAAAATAAAATCAATATACCGGGTGCGTATGAAAAGTGGCTCGCCCCTGTAAAATTTTTATTCTTTCAGATAAAAAACGATATTTGTTATGTTAGTGTATGAAAAAAATTAGGATTGGTTAACGTAATCAATTGTTTTTGGTCACTTCTCTTTCACCGGAAACCGAAAATGACTACAACTTTTGATTTTTAATTGGTACTCTCGGTTTTTTTGCTTTATTCGATAGAAAATGGCACTCTGAATAGAATGACATGTCATATGTCAAGTTTTGACATTTTCTCGTATAGTTTATTTGAAATTGTAACATGCGGTTCATAACGATAATTTGACTCGAAATACCAAATATGTGGTACCAAATTGTTCGTAAAAAATGCTTTTTCCAAATATGCTAATGAGCCACCCGCGTTCTAATTGAAAAAATTGAGATACGATTAAAAATATGATTTGGGTATCGTTTAACCGGCCAGAACAAGACACGAAAAACATTAGACAATCAAGTCTACTTTTCCTAGGCTCCGTGATTAAAAATTTGTGTTTTTAATACAGCTATGGAACTCCGGATTGAAATTTAAAATATGATTTTTTTTTACAGGGAAAATGTCAAAAGTTGACATATGATGTGTCATTCTATTCACAGTATCATTTTCTATCAAATAAAGTAAAAAATTACCGAGGGCGCCATTTAACAATCAAAAGTTGTAGTAATTTCCGGTATAACAGTGGATCGAAAACAATTGGATACGTCAATCAATCCTAATTCATGTGATATTGTTACATACCAAATCTTGTTTTTCTTATCTGCCAAAATAAGATAAAGTTACAGGGGTGAGCAACGTTTGAGACGCACCCGGTATATAAAAATTATTATGGTGTAGAAATTATTTTAAAAAACTCACGTTATTTTCAATGTTCTATATCATAAATAATAAAGGTAAAATATATATTTATAGAGCGGCAACTATAGTCCTGAGGGAGAACAACTGTCACTTCTTGCGAGTTGACAAGGAGAACTTCAACCGTATCCTGAGGGACGTGGAGGCGAACACCGTCCGGTTGAAGGAGCACGGCAAGGACGTTCTAATATTAGAGAAAATTACGTCCAATACGAAACAAGTCTTCTCTTCGCACTTTAAGTAAGTATTAATTATTGTGTTGATAATTTACAGAGTCTGATATAATAGAAACTAAGATAGGTAATCTGGTACTGCTTCGTTTTAGTCCGAATTCATTATACGAGTATGTATAAAACATTGAACAAATACTCGCTCTATTCAATACATGTTATTTTACTGAGCGTATTGTACCGTAACGAAAATGGGCACTCAAGTCTAAGTACTTATCTACAAATACTTGCATATATTGCTATAATAATAAACTATACCTTATCTTGGCATAAAATACAATTTCTTTTTTTATTAAATTGTTTTGAACATATACATGGTCCGGCAACAATGCGCTAGACGTAGTAGCTCATAGAATAAAAAAAACTTCGGAATTTTTGTGCAAATTTAAAAAAAACCAAGGGATGTATTTTAGGAAAATATTTGAACTTCTGTAGGATAGCTCAAAAAAGTCTGAGTGGATCGGGATGATTTTTTTTAAATGGAACACCTTGCATATCATTGCATTTTTGGCTTCCTTCCAGATCACTTTACACAGTCCTAAGATATGAGTAAATATATTTCGATAATTTCAGAGATATTAATAAATAAATAAAAAATACCTAATTTTGAACTTTCCTTAAAAAAATTATTACAAATTCAAGAGCTGTCGTGAAATCAAAATAATAATTTTACATATTTACTTTAGATGATCTATACTTACTTTGCTATAAATATTGTAATCTTAAACCAAACAAAGTTTATAATTCTACGTCAAACTTTCTAAAATATTAAATAATTTTTCTTTTTTTTATGGAACACACTGTATATTATTTTCTATTAGATTGAAAGTTAAAACATGAATATTTTTGGTATTTGAAGTATTTAAAATTATTAATAGTTTTGCAGATACACGCAGTATAATTTCATATGGCTGCTTGAACGTTAAAAGACGAGAGGAATATCATTAGGTGACTTTGAAAAATATGAATTATAAAACTGCGAAATCTGCGAGATCGCTAAAAATTTTGAAACCAAACCAATACAAAAATGTTTATTTCTTAATTCTCCATCTGTTGAAAAATTAATATAGAGCGTTATTTAAAAAAAAAACGAAAAAAAAAATTTTATTTTAGAGAGTTTGGCGTAGAATTTTGAACATCCTCTATGATTTACAATTACCATATTGATAGCAAAGTGAGTACAGACCATCTAAAAATAAATACCTAATAGTTTCGATTTCAGGGTAGTTCTTCTATTTTTAATATTTTTTTTTGAAAAAGACTGAAAAATATATGTTTTATTTATTTATTAATATCTCTGAAACTACAGAAATATATTTACTCATATATTAGAATTATGTAAAGGGATCTGAAAGGAAGCCAATCAGTGCTGTCAGTGCCTAAAATGTGACAGTATGTCACTGATGGTAAAAGTCATTTTTCACTTTTAGCACTGGTGCTAAAAGTAAGTCACGTGATTTGCTTTTAACACTAAAGCAACTGAAATTACTCTAGCAACCATAAACTGCATAATTAATTTGATTTCAGAATGACATATTATGAATTATTCATTAACGTAAAAAGTAATAATACCGTGATATATACGAGCATAAACTTGTTTGTAGAAAAATAGTGTATGATATGTGTGCTAAAAGTGATTGTATTTTGTTCGAAGGGATGCGACACTCCGCCTTTGGCGTCGTATCCCAAGCTTCCTTTCTCACAAAATAAAATAACACTTTTAGCACTTATGTCATAAATAACTATATTTACCTCGATATCCGACATAATAACTGAAATAGAAAATGGTATTTTAATATTTAATTTAGACGCGCTATAAAATTTCCACAAAAACCGCATAATTTTTATTTAATTGCCCGGCGTGAAAGGAAAAACTACCCTACAATTTATTACCGTTCTTATTATCTTCCCCACAATTTATTTTTTAACCTCATCAAATTACCAGCACGAATTGCGTTAATTATGGACTTTTTATTTCACGACCGTATCATAAAAATAAAGTATTAAATTTACAGGGTTAAACAACCGTGTTTTTTCTATACGAAATAGTCATAATTTTACATTACATAATATGCAGTAAAGTTAATTTATCTACGTCAGTGAGTTAAGAAGCTCTTAACTCACGCATTTTGAGTGAGTTAACTCACGCATTTCCATTAGATTTCCACTCTTTGTTTAGATGACTACCAAAGAGAAAAAGATATTTTGTAAAACATTTATTTTGCACTAAATTGGAAAAATATGTTATGAGTACCTTTTCATTTCCATAGTTGTGTACTTTTTTTTTGGTGCACCATTGTTCATACTTAGAGTATGTATATTCATACTTCTGTTTCGATCTTGCCGGAAGCAATCCAGAAATGACTCTGAATGCCTCTTCTTCAATGTTAGAGGGAATACTTTCCTAATCGCTCATTTTTTAAACTGGTGACATCAATATTATTTGCTGTCAATAGCCATGCATGGTGTTATTTGAACGAAGGTATTAAGGTAATTGATTTTTAGGATAGGTATATAGTTAAGTACAATAATTTTTAAAATTCATTGTGTGTTTTTATAGTTAGACGTAGATAAAGTTAATTTAAGTACTTCCTCTAGGAAATGCGCGACCTTCCCGTTGGTGGGAAAGCTCCTGGTCGGGTGCAAGGGAAATTCTTTCTGGCACTTTACTGGGTTTAAGGAGCATCTCATTTTCTTGTTCCTGGCTGTAGTGTCGTGGCCCAGAAAGTGCACCAATACGCATAACGTAGCCGGATGAGACTACCCTGTGCGTAAAACCAGGTACCCTCTACTGTGTGTGGTCATGTATCACGGGCAAAGGGCAAGTCTTAGCTTAACCGCCAGAATCAAGAGGAGACAACTTCACCAAAAATCTAAATCCTATGATGGGGGGACCAGGTCAAACGGATGCATGGCTAGATAGAAGGCTTAGCCTCTACTGGTCATAACCTTTAACTATTCGCGTCTCCATTACTTCCATATGCGGGGCTCTGTAGAGTTGACCCACTAACCCTTGCAGTATAATTGACCTCAAACCGAAGGAGGCAATAGAGAAACTACAAATTTGGACATATATCCTCTAATATAGATTCGGGACAATACTGGTGTCAGGTCTAAGGTGAGACCAAGTTAAAGAGGTGGAGGAAATGGAGACAGATCATACAGTCTTTACCTCACGGGTACCTCAGCCGGAAACAAGCTCATCGACTGTGAAGCTGAGGCCGCAGTGCAAGCAAGTTACCTGGAGGGTAGTGGGTATCGAGGCGCCAAGCGACCCTCCAAGTAAGCCGCGAGGGATGTTTCCGTAACATGCGATTTTAACCAAACCAGCCGCAGTGCAATCCCCCACCATCTTAAGCCACAAAGCAACTCGCTAAGCGAGCCACTTGAGGATCAGTTGTGTTCGATATTTTCAGCCATGCGTAAAGTAGTTTTGGTCTAAAAACGGAGGAAGAATTGTGATGCAGAAGCGTTGTTCAGCAGAAATTGCTTCTCTGAAGTTTGTAGACGTCCTTTCTAATTTGTCTTAAACTTTATTAAGTAGAAAATCAAACGATTTTACACTCATACGTGCATAATTAAAAAAATTGTCAGGGTAATTTCGCATTTTCTTGTAAACTCGCAAAAATTCTCCATCATGGTCTCTATGCAAGTTATACTCATGCACTCACATCTTCTTATTTTCCATATTTACAGAGTTCACATAAGAATTGTCACAAAGCAGAAGCCTTCTGGCAAATTTTGAAAGGGGCATGATACTAAAGACACTCACGGGAGCTACAATTTGCAACTGAACTTGATTAGATTGGTTATTGTTTTAATAATTTTCCGTCCACTACTGCGTACAAGATATATGTACCCTCTACCCATTAACCTTCACCCTTTACCCGACAAGCTTCCCTCCACCTGTCTATAGTGCGGGCTTGGCTTGAAGGGCACGGATGGCTAAATCCCAACTGTGGAGGGGATATACCATCGTAGAAGGTAGATGCTCGTTCCTCGGAGGATTAACATCTGTTGTCAGAGGAGGATGGGAAATACGCTGCCCCGTCTAAAACAGATAGATCCCCATGTTATAGGCTGTATGATGAGCTATAGCTCAAGAAACGGAGATACAATAGATCTTTAAGGTCGCGGTGATTAACCCCCCACTCACTCATTCTACATTCTCTAATATAGAAAATCTAGGAACTAGTGGGGTTGCAGTCGGAAGGGTTTGGACTATAATTAATAAACTTTGTTAATGGTCAATCTTTCGGAATTTATTCATTCTATCTTCAGGGCATCAAGGGTGGTAAAAAAACACCTTCATTAAAAACTACATTAAAAAATAAGCTTGATAGATACATTGAAGACTCCAGAGTAAAATCATCACTGACCAGTCAACCACACTAAGGGATATCTTGGGGCGATTGAGTGGCCCGATTATTAATTAAAACATTGGAAATAATTGCGAGATCTTCGAGCACATTTCAGTTGCGTCTCAATCTAAGGCATGGAGGCCTAATTAGGCGGCTCAATCGCCCCCAGATAGCTCTTAGTGTGGTTGACTGGTCAGTAATGATTTTACTGTGGAGTCTTCAATGTATCTCTCAAGCTTATTTTTTAATGTAGTTTTTAATGAAGGTTTTTTACCACGTTGCTGTCCTGGGGAGGGAAAAAATAAATTCCGAAAGCTTGACCAATTAACTAATGGACTAGAATTAATACACACAAAGTGTATTAATTCTAGTAATTCTAGTCCAAACTAGTCCCTTTCGACTGCAACCCCGCTAGTTCCTAGATTTTCTTTCTCGCTAGGCAGTCGATACTACTGTCTGGTTCTCTAATATAAGTAGATTTTTAATTTAATGAAGAAGTTCGAAATTCGATAGTATAGTCAAATTTATTAAGTCACGTTTCACTTAAAATGCGAAGTCTTCTTTTACAGCATCCAGTTATTATATTGCATCTCATTCGAGTTCTCCTTAAAACTTGTTATGCATAGTCCCACGTGCTTATTCCGTATTT